GGGAGCTATCACGGGCTGTTAAAGGAAGCCTCAGGTGGCGCTAGAGGGATGACTTGCTCTATTTTGAATAAAAGCAGCTGCGGAAACAATCAAAGGGCAGCGGCCCCGCGCGTCGCGCCGCGGGCACTTTCCCGGCGGCGGCTGCTGCCCCCTGCTGGCGGAGTCCGAGCACGGCACGGACTCGAGGCTCCTCTTGCATTTCCGCCGAGCTGGGGGAGTCAGTCCCACGTCTGCTGCACTTAATTAACAGGGCCAAGGCCAACCCTTGCATCTGCGGGGACTCAAGCCACGGGGTGGGGAACTTACAGCAAAGGTCATCGCTAGCCTAGTACACCCTAGGCTGGCGTCACAGACCGTGTCACGCTTGTCCTGCGTGTCCCACGATCACATGGACTGGTTCGTCTACACCCCACTGAGCCCTAAGGGCAGTTAGGAGGAGATTGAGACACAGAGCGAAGAGGGGTCTGCAGGGCTCTGAGGCTTCGGTTTTAAACTCATGTCTTTTCTCTTTGAGTCCGTGAGAGAAAATCAGGGGTTCGCATCCGCGGGTGGCTGCCCTGGCCCAGCATTTGGCAATGTCTGCAGACAGTTTTTGTTGCCTCAATGAGAGGTGGTCCTGCATCAAGGGGAGAGGAGCCCGGGGTGCTACGAGACACTCATAGTGCTCAGGACAGCCGCCACCGCAGAATTGCACCCCAAAATGTCAATAGTGTCCATGTAGAAAAAAATACCCACAGTCCGACAAATCTCCTCGCCCTCTCTCCTGAGTATCGTCCTGGACCTTAGGGCACCATAACAGGGCTACCTTAGTGCACCCTAAGTCCTTCCTGGGGGTCCCTGCAGAGTGGCCCAAGGGGCCTGGCTTTCTTGCCCATAGAGAAGTCAGGTCTAGCCAGGGGTGCAGTAGAGGGCAGAGAGGACCCAGGATCAGGCTGCTCCCATCTGAACAATCAGTTGAGACTGCAGACTGAGTAACAGTTTACATTTAGTGCTTAGAAGGGCTTGGATGTGGGGCTTGAATGGAGATCTGGAGGTCATAAGCAAGAGGTTTTCTGCCATGCTGCGTACAGCGAGTGCAAAGGCCCTGAGGTAGGGATGTTTTCAAGGAACTGAGAGACAATAAAATGATCAGGTGTAGTGAAGGGTGGGCCTGGCATCCCTTCCAAGTCGGCTCTCAAACATGAGCAGATATCTGATCACCAGGAGGGCTCATGAAAACAGATCAAAGCTACTTTCTAACAATTCCTGCTATGGTGGTGCAGTACTCCAGGGCCCGCAGCACATGGTGTTCTTTCCTCCTGCACCAAGTCCAGTCCGGGTCAGCACTGACTGCTGTGGTCAGAGAGGGTTGCCTTGATTGCCTGCCTCCTCACAGAGCTCCATGCTCTATAGCCTAGTGCTTAGTAAGCACTCAGTGGAATATTAATGGAATGAATTCTTCAAAGAAAGATTCTGTGCCAGGCCCTGTCCTACTTGCTTTTCCATTCTGCTCTGTTTTGCTGCAGGCAGATCTCGGCTGGCCAAACTCATGATTTTCTGGGACCCCTTTCATCCCTAAGCAAAGCCAGGTCTGTGATATGCGCCTGCCCCAGCACCTTGGCGTGTCCTCCTGGTCTCCCTGTGTCCATCTCGCTGGATCCTGCCCATCCCTCAGACTCTCCATGCAGAGCCTCCTGCCCAGCTCCCTGTGCCTCACTCATCCCAGGTTAGAGACCCGCTTCAAAATGCAGGGATCCTACACCTACCGGGTCCAGGTGCCTGGCCCAGTTGTGTATGCTGCTTTCCTGGACAGCGCTCACAGACAGGCAGCTCCAGCTGGAAGCAGTCCTCAAAGGTCTCTAGCTCAGCTACGGGGTTTTAAATTTAAATATATCGCCAGGTGTGGAGGTGCACACATCACCCCAGCACTCAGGAGGCTGAGGCAGGAAGATTGCCATGAGTTCAGAGCCAGCCTCAGATACATAGTGAGTTCAAGGCCAGCCTGAACTACAAGTGGGACCCTGTCTCACACAAAACCAAACCAAACAGGAAATTCATTGCCAATACTTACGAGCAAAGGGATTTCATATCACCACCCAGTTTCTTGATTCCACTAAAAAACTGGGAAAGGACCACCTGGTGGTCCATGCCTGTGATCCCAGTGCTCTGGGAGGCTTAGGCAGGAGGATCACAAGTTTGAGTGTAGCCCAAGCCATTTAGTGGCCTAGTGAGACTGTTTCAAAATAAAAGAAATGACAGAGGTGTAGCTCTGTGTGAAGGTCCTAGGGTCCATCCCCAGAAAGAACAGATCACAACACACATCGTGGCTCCTCACCCTTGGTTCCCACAGGGCTTAGATAGGCTGGAGTCAAGGGCTGGACCCTGTCATCTTGTGTTGGTGACTTCTGCAACCAGCACAGTGCCTGGCCTTTATAAAAGTATATTGTTGAAACCAGAGAGGAAAATACATCGGTCCGAGAATGAAGAGATCCAGGATTGGTTCTTGTTTGGGAAGCCTCGTTTGACCTTGGGGCCTCTCCGGGCCCTCAGTGTCCTTGTCTGCTCAATTAAAGGAATGCGAGCCTCCCTTCTCCGCCTGCCATCCAGCCAGAGAGGCTGTGAAGAGCTCCGCACGTGCCTAGCATACAATGCTCAATCAGCGTGAGTCAATACTGCAGGGACTCAGTAAACATTTGCTCTCCAGGAGGAGAGGAAGTGGGGGAGGGTCAGAGGCATGCTGGGTCCCTGGGGGACGGGGTTGAGAGGCTCCCTGTGTTCAAGCCCGAGTCCACCACCACCTCAGGAATTTGACATAACCTCATCTGGGCCAAGTGGGGATGACCCAAGTCTCAGGAGGGTTATAGTATCAAATATGCACATGATGCATGGGTAAATTAACCCTCAATGGCCCTTGGAAGATGGTTGGGGTGCAGTGCACACATGCTGGACCCGTCAGGGGAGGTGGACAGGAAGTGCTCAGGAGTCTGGTTCCAAAACTCACCAGCCACCTTAATGCACGGAGAGGGCCTGGGATATAGCTCAGTGGCACGGTGCCTGCCTGGCAAGTAGGAGGTCATGAGTTTGATTCCCTACAAAAAAAAAAAATGTACGGGAAGAGGTAACTCAGTGGTAAAGCACTTGCAGAGCCATGAATTCCAATCCTCAGTACAGTACCAAAAAAAAAAGTGTAATGTGTAGAGGCTTGGGGGGCGGGGCGAGGACAGTGGAGGAGGGGCAGGATTCACTAGACGGGAATTTTTCATCTCTCTGGAAAGATCCAAAGTGGCCTGAGCAGCAGTACAGAAAGTGAGCAGATGTGGAAGGAGGAAAGCAGCCCTATGAGGGAGGAGTTATTTTTACCTCCACCCCCAGACAGCGGAAGGACAATCCTGTCCCAGATAGGCCCTACATCCGGGCTCCACGGGCCCTGCCCCGCCCAGCGTGGCTCACTCAATGGTGCTTGCAGGAGTCAGAGGGTCACTCACAGCACCCGGCAGGAGGGTCGGCAAGAGGGCAAAGGAGACCAGGCAGTGGCCAGGGTGCTGAGAGAAGCACGGTGTTACCAGAAAAAAGCAGGGTAGGTACAACACAGGGGAGGTGGCTCTCTCCCTTGTTACCGATGCCAGGAATGAAGCTCCCAGAAGGAACGTTCCTCTATCGTGTTACTCTGCATTTGGTGCTGAAACCTTTACAGCCATTTCTAGAGTGTGCACGTGTGTGTGTGCGCGCGTGTGTGCCCATACGTGCCCTTTGTACAAGACTGGCAGCCTCCTACACCCAGAGCAGTGAGAGAAGGCAAAATGTCTCAGGTATCCGAAGGACAAGCCGCTCCTCGCCGAGGGATCGAGGCATCGGGGAAGAGGAGCTGCTTTTCCCCTTTGGGCAGTGGCCATCAAAGTCTTAGGGCCCAGCAGGCGTGAAAACGGGTACTGCCTGTGGCCGCCTCTGCCCATGATGATAAACCTAATCTGACCAGGTAGGTCCCCTCCCACTCAGCATCCGGCGGCCCCCTGGCGCACACTTCTGCATCCCGGATGCTTACTTGAGGCCTCTCTTTTGTCCCTCGTGATGGTGGTTCTCATCTTAAGGACCTAGCAAAGAAGTGACACCCAAACAGGCAGAGTCTCCCTGCTTGGCCGGTAAGGTCCTGGACCCTCGCTTTCAAGGTGCGTGATGCCGGATGCCTTCATTTCACAAGGGAGAAGACGGGGACATCGGGTCCCCAAGTGCAGTAGCCCTGCATGTCGGTTCATTTGCACCTTCTGTTCACAGAGGTCACTTTAAATACTGGCTATGTCCCCTAACACGGGTCGCTTCTCCGTGGGGTGAAAACACTCAAACCCCTTCCTCCTCGCTTTTGAAACGTGCACTACATTGTCATCAACCAGTCCCCGCCCTGTGCAGCGCGCATGGGACTTGCCAGCTCTACACTCGCACCCACTGATCCGAACCACTTCAGATTTCAAAGAGTATAACATGCATGACCTTTAAAAATGAGATTTCTCTTGGGAATGCGGGGCGAGGGCCAGATTTGTTGATGCCCCTGACAGCCTCGCTCCACGGAAGCTGGGCAACAAGGAAACACTCGCCAGGACTAAGCTTCTAGCGGGCCACTGCAGTTTCGTCTACTGCGCAGGCGCCACTCCAGACAACTTTTGCCTTGGCTCCTCTCTCGGGCGAGTCCACTTTGGTGGACTTTGGTGGGGGGGTGCGGTGAATCTCCGTTGTTCCCGAAGATGGTCCAAGCCAGCCTCTGGCCAATCAGAACACTTTCTTTTTCACGCCCTCTGGCTACACAGGCTAGAACTTCTTTTCCCGAAATGCTCCGGAGGAACTGGGACGGGAGGTGCCTCTGATTGACGGTAGCTAGAGCCATTTATCAAGCGGAATGATGTTAAAGAGCAGGTGCAGCTACGAATTGTCTTGAAAGAAAAGGCTGTTGGTCTCGCCCTGTCCTTCTACTGGGTCTTCTAGCGTCTGGAGGGGCGGGAGGTATTCGTATCAGCCAATCAAGAGCCAGCAAGAAGGAGGCGGGCCGATGGTTGCCAGGACAGTTTATTTGGTTTGGTGCTTAGGTCTCTAGAGGCGTGGGACTGTTTCTCCACGAGCCCAAGACCAGGGTTTGGGCTGAGGGGCTGGGCTGGGAGTGAGAGCGGGAGCTGCGTCGCCCGCTTGCACATTTTTAGGCTGCTTCTAGGCCTTGAGCTGGGCCCCATCTGGAGCCCTCCCGCCACCCTAGCTCCAGAAATCCGACCCCGGCCGGGCCAGGAGGTCGGGCCCGGGTCCAGCTGCATCCCCCCCACTTCAGTCGGTGGTTACCATGGTAAAGCTGGCAGCCAAATGCATCCTGGCAGGTGAGTGTGAAAACTTGCGCTTGAATACAGTGGCCTCTGAAGTGCAGAACTTTCATCATTCGTGCGGAATTTTTGTTCAGGTAAACTGTCTACACGCCTTCCCCCACTCTCTCCCAGAGGCGAGTTGCTGCCTACCGAAGTAGATAATGCCAGTAGGCAGGAAGCAGTTATCTTCCACACTGCATTTGTAGCGCAGTCGCTGTCATACTCAGAGAGAGAAAACCCAGTTTGAACTGTATTAACAAGGAGCAGACTGGTTTAAAAATCAGCCTACGCGAACCCCCAAATGCTAAATCATTTGCTGTGCCCCAAAATTGGGCATTGGTGACTTTGGGAGTCTTTACTTAAAGGATTCTCTTCCTGGCCCCACCTGTTCTGATAAAAGACAGAAGAGAGTTTGCAGAGGCACCTGTTTGCTGTCTGTGAGGTCGAGTGTTCTGTGCTGCCTCATCTCAGAATTTACACATGGAGTCTCCTCAATGTCAGCGGTCTTTGTTTTGTGGAGTGCCCTCCCAAGCTCCTACTACAACGCCTCAAACACAGTAGCTACTCAGTAAATACTTATTGTATTGTGGCGTTTTCTTTGTGTCAGCTGCACATGTAGAAATGTGATTGCAGGGATTAGAGCTGTGACTGCAGAAGGAATGGGTATTTCACTGAGTCTTTACTGCACACAGAGTATTTCACTTAACTGTCTCACCATTGCACACCCGAAGGTCATACACAAGATTTACAGCCCCAAGTCGGCCTAACTCCAAAACCCTTACCTGGTGTTAATGTCCAGACCTGTGACCTTTCCAGGCTTCCCTGACCAACTCAGGGAAGAACCGAGGAGAAATTACATAGAAAAACCTCCTTTTTATTCCTCTCTTCCAGACTGAAAATAAGTGATAGTTTTTCTGTCTGTTTTTTCAGTCCTGGGAGTTGAACTCAGAGCCTTCACACTCAGCTACATCCCTTTTTAAACTTTGCAGCAGCATCTCACAAGCGGGGCTTGAACTTGGAATCCTCCTGCCTCAGCCTCCCAGAGTGCTGGGCTTACCGGCATGCACCACCACACCTGGCTTGATGACAGTGTGTTCAATGACTTTTCTGTTTGATAGTAAAAGGTATCACATAGAACGAGGCGTGACAGTCAGACTGGATCGAAAGCTATTGGTGGTTCTCAGGGGACTGTAGTTTCCAGTGCGCCAGGGGAGGCAGTGTTGTGTAATGGAAGTCTTTCTGGTGCCCTCTTCCTGGGGATGTTACCTTGCACACAGCGTTTCTCTGAGCGTCAGCTCCCTCACTGGATGAGGAGGGAACATTGTCATTTTCTAAAGCTAGATTGCTGTTTACAATGCACTGCTGCCCCTGACTGTCCTTCCTCTCGGTGCCTTCCGAATGCAGCTCCCTGAGTACGGTCTGTTTTGCAGCCCTACGCTCGGCCCTCGGCGCTGCTCCCTTGAATCCCGACAGCTTTGCTGTGGGATGGGTTGGTTTTGCTGTCATCCTGATACACAGATGAGACAAATGGAGCCCAGAGAGATGAGGACACTTGCCAGGGGGCGCACAGGACGGTGTGATGCAGAACCTGACCCGGGTGATCTGATTTCCAGGGCTTTGTTCTTAGCACGGGCTGTGCCGTCCTCCAGCCTGGGTCCTTTTCGCCCTGCTTTACCCCTGCGTTCTCCAGCACCTGTGTCAGTGAGTCCAGGAGGGGCTTCAGTCAGTGGCTCTGGGACTCCAGCTCTGCCTGCAGTGCTCGGCCTGCAGCCTCCTGTCCAGGCCCCCAGGGCGTCTCCTCCTGGAAGTTTCTGGGGATCAAAGACCTCAGCTGGGACCTGGCCTGGCGCCACCTCCCTGCTCTCACCCACCCCCACCCGCCCCTCACAGGTTGTTCCCATTCAGCTCGGCAGGCCCACACATCTCTCACATGACTGCTTATCACGGCCCTGATGTTCAAGTGTATCACCACTCAGAAAAAGATATTTACTGAGCATCTACTGTCTGTGAGTCACCGACAAGGTGCAATGGAACTCACGGAGGGACCAGTGCAGCTCCGGGAAGAACTAAGCTGTACGAGGGCAGTTACAACACCAGGGCCACAACCACGAATTGATTCCCCTTTGTGTGCCTGACGCTGGAGAATTGTCAAGGCCCAGCTACTGCAGGTTCTGGTTCAGATGAAAGGAGAAAGCCATACTTGATATTTATCTGTAATTGATTTATCTTAAAAACACCTTAATAGTCCTTATTGTATGTCTAGCACTGTACGTGTTAACTCATTAAATCCTATGGCAATTTTGTGAGGTGGGTAGTTAGTAACCCATTTTACAGATACAGCAACTGAGGCACAGAGATGAAGTGACTGACCTAACATCATGCAGCTGGGAAGTGGTGGAGCTGGATTCTGGCTCCTGATTCTATGACTTTAATTTCTATCTTGCACTGCCTCTCTGTGTACATAGACGTAATAGTTGTGCCTCTCTGGGTCATGGGTCTCCTGCCACCAGCAAGGGATTCATTATTGCCTTCCATGCAAGACCAAGGAGGTAGCACTCCCCTCCAAGGGTGCAGGGGAAAGAACTAATTGAGCTTTGCTTGGAGGGAGCAGGATCTGGGCATGGGTTGGAGGAAGTGGTTGCAAGGCTGTGAGTCCTGAGGGGCTGGGGAACCGGGGTGCAGCCCAGATCCTGTGTAAGGACAGGCGGAGAAAGTGGAGGCCGGGCCAGTGCTGGCTGGAGAGAAGTTGCCTGTGGTGGTAGGGATGAGAACTCTGCTCTGGGACGTCCACTAGCCCGTGTGCTGCTGGGGTGGGGTAGCGCGGGGAGGACAGGAAGGGCAGAGGGACTCTGGGAATGCCAGGACTGTTTTCAGTCCAGGTCTGATGAAGAACTTAAAATATATTCAGCATTGCACCAGGGCCATTTTAAGGGTGTCACTGGCCTCTTAGGGCTGAAAGGCCAGAGGAAGCACCTGGAGGCACAGTGGTAGAGAGCTGGGGCTTTCAGAAGGCTGCTGCCCGAGAGGATGGGCTGTGGGTGTGAGACCACCATGGCCAAGGTCACTTGGGGCTTTGGCGGGCCCATCTTTGGGAAATCGCTCTTGGCCCCAGGTGCTACGTAATCAGGGTCCAGGTGATCAGCAGGTGCTGTGTGAGGTGAGGGCTTCACTGTACACGGTGGACTTAGGTATTGAAAAGTTATTGTTAGGTACTGAGGGTCTCAAGAAGAGAAGCAGACAGGATTAAGGCAGCACAGGAGCGACAGCAGAAAGGAGCAGGACCTCGGACTAGGCACAGGGGAAGTGGGCGTGGTCACCGGGACTGTGAGGTTCAGCTCGGAGAAGGCCTGGGTGCTGAGTGCAGATCCCACCATGCTGGTGCCTGTGTGTGTGTGTGTGTGTGTGTGTGTGTGTGTGTGTACACGCGCATGTGCGTGCGCACGTGCACAGGGCAGCTTTTTGTCACCGTGATGAAATTTCTGACACACACAGCATTAATTTGGCTCAGGGTTCCAGAGACTTCAGTCCATGGTTGGCAGGCTCCAGTGCGGAACCACCGTGGGGGAAGAGCGTGGCAAGGAAAGCTGCTCCCCTCCTAGCGCCCAGGAGGCAGAGCAGGGGCAGAGCCAGGGAGCAGGAAGGCAGGCAGCAGATGAGTCCCCGAGGTCATGCCCGTGACCCAGCCAGCCACACCCAGAGGTGTGCTTCACCAGTCTCCCAGATCTGCAGTCTTCCTGGTCCGGACAGTCAGGCTGACGGTCATGATTGGCTGTCCCAGGGGTCAGGACAGGGTGTTTGCAGAGCCCCGTCCCAGTGCTGCAGAGCAGAGTGGGGAGGCAGGTTGGTGGAGGCATGAACTCGGGGTAGTGGGAGGATAGGGGTGGTCAGGAGACAGCAAAGGTCTCAGGACATTCACGAGAGGCCAGCTGAGTGTGGGGGGAGGTGAAGGCTGAATGTGGGGACACTGAGGACACGTGGTGGTGAGCAAGAAGAGTGAGCTAGGTGGGCGTGACCCCTCAGGGACAGACAGACACTCAGGGACAGGCTGTGGACACAGATGGAGTGAAAGCCCATCACCCCATGGCAACCTCTACGGGTAGCCAGAAAATCAGATGGCCCAGGAAGAGCCCTGCCTGCAGTGAGTCGGGGGAAGGGGAGCAACTGAGGCACAGCACCAGAAGCAGAGCACTGACCGCAGCCCCCAGGAGTGGCCACATCCTGGAGTGGGAGGGGTGGGGCAGAAGATCCCGCCGGTTCAGAGGTAGAAGCCACCAGGATGGCTCGAAAGAAGGGGCCTGCGTTAGTCTGCGTCACCCTTCAGAGGCATTGGGGGCGAGGCGTGAGAAGAGACCACTGGACATGGCAGTTACGGGGTCACAGGGTCGCCAGCAGTGCCCTCCACCTGCACCCCCAGGCTCCGTCCTCCTCCCCGGGCAGGGGGCCGCCCGGGCCGGGCCTGGGCCGCCTCTTTGCTTCCTGGATGCTCTCTCTGCGGTTCTCAGCTTGCGCTGTTGAATTTGCACTTGTCATCTTGTTTATCAGTCCTGTCACCTCCCTGTGCTCGGATGCTTCCCTGGAGCCCACACAGGAGGTTTGCTGTAAGTGTTGGTGACTGACTGACAGGCGGGGGGAAGATTTATGAAATTAGCCGGAGCCAATCTGCAGGGAGCTTCACAAGCTAGAGAGCCAATTTCCAACTGGATTCAAGAACAGAGCTGGAGTCTGGGCAACGGGAAGAGTCCAGGAGCGAAGCCGTGCGCTCAGGCATGGGGGTCCCCAGCAACACACGATTGAGGCCATGGTGCCAGGTGTCCTGGAGGGCCACAGCGATGAAAGCCTGCAGTGTATCAGATGCGGTCCCTTGTGCCCTGGAGAAGGCCTGGCTGGCTGGTGCAGAGAGGGCGGACCCAGGCCCTGTACCCCATCTCCCCGGCCCCTTCATCTGCAGCCGAGGAAGTGGGGGTGTGGTGTGGGGCCGAATGAATGAGACCGAGACTGGGCTCGCAGGGGGCGTTCACATCAGTGTATGACATGCCGCTCGCCCGCTCACGGTGTCTCACAAGGGGAAAGTCGAACCGAGTGGCAGACTGTTGAGGGGTGAAGCAGAGAGCAGTGTGGGAGCAGCTGTAAAATGGGGTGCGAAGGTGCGGAGACCTTTCCCAGCCAGCCCTGCACGAGGTGTAGGGTGACATCAGGAGGACAGAAAGCATCACTGGCTGAGGGGCGGGGTGACGGGGTGGTGGGGAAGCTGCCACGCATGGTGACAGGTGACGTCAGAGGACACCGGGCAGGGCATTGGCAGGAAAGGGGAGAGGTTAGAGGGGAGTTACAGGTGAGCACACAAAGCGGGAGAGGAACCCAGGGCGACTGGCTCCCGACCGTCGGGTGGGAGCTCTGAGGGGCCAGTGTCGGGGGTATCCAGCTGGCAGCTCTGCACACAGGTCATTCAGCCGGGGGACCCCTTCGCCTGAGGTACCCCATCACTCATCTTTCCTGCCAAGGCTCCGTGTAAACCCTGAAAGTGACAGGGTTTCCCGTGGGGGTGTCTCACTGGAAGCGTCTGCGTTGCCAAGGCGCCATCCAGACCCCTCCTCAACCTCCCTCACCTTCTTCCTGCCTCATCAGGTAGGATTTATCCTGCCGTTGTGAGCTTTGGGGGGTCGCATGGGCTCGCTGCCCTGCCTGTGACCTCCGTGGTCCCGGTGACAGCCAGTGGTGTTTGCCTGGAAAACTCACGGGCGCTTGTGGTTTGTAGCGCAGGCAGGTCTGGTGAGGGCTGAGGCGGTGTCTTTCTTCTGCTCTGACCGCAGGGGACCCGGCCGTGGGCAAGACTGCCCTGGCCCAGATCTTCCGCAGTGAAGAGGCTCACTTCCAGAAGAACTACATTCTGGTGAGCTGGGGCCTGGGCTGGCCAGGGCTCAAAGTGTGAGGGTAACCCCGAGGGAGTGACCCCAGAGAATCCCCGGAAGGGGCCCCCTGAGGCTGCATGTATGGTCATGTAGACATTGGTTTTTTACACCGATGAGGGGTGATCACAGGCTTCTCAGCCACTCCCTATGATTTGCCACAAGCAGCAGCTCCCCCAGGGGAGGGGAAGTGGGGAGACGAGGGGGCCTCTGACTTCTGCAGGCCGAGCATGGATGCCTAGCCAGGGTAGCCCCCCAGGGAGTCGGGGTCTCATCCTGATGCCTGTGCTCTTCTGTTCCTCGGCAGACGACAGGGGTGGATTTGGTGGTGAAGACGGTGCCAGTTCCTGACACAGGCGACAGCGTGGTGAGTGGCATCCCTGACCCAGGTGCACCCAGGGCTACTCCAGTGGGCTCAGGGCCTTGGTCCTAGGAGGCGCACAGGTGGTAGGGGATTGAGACCCCGATCTCTCTGTTCATGGGAGTTAGGAAACCGAGAACATACTCGAGGGAGAGGTTAAGGAGGTGGGGGCCGGACTGTGGCCTTGCTGTGGAATTCTTGTCTGGTTCCAAGAGTCATAATCCAGGTTCCTCTGTGGGAAGCCCAGAGCTCGTGGGACCTCAAGATGGTAGTCGGTAAGAGGGTTGTGGCTTCTTCCAGATGCCGAAAGAGGCCCATGAACAAAGAGGAAAGGGGAAGGGGAGAAGAAAAGATGTTTTAAGCACCCTGACCGGGCGAGAAAGGCCACGACAAGGACACAGGTGGCCAGCATGAGGACACATGGTGCTGGTGTGCGGAGAGCAGGTGCCAGTGGTCAGCAGCCAGCCAGGGGCCGCCCTGCTCGGAGGGGCAGAAGGGACCTGCAGAGAGGCTTCCAAGGGCAGCAGCCATGGGAAGGGACCCCCAGCGGGGCCGGGAAGGCTGGGACAGACAGGGAGGAGCATCTGGTGCCCCATGTCCCAAGTGCTCCCGGGCTGTCCCCGAATGATGACAGACTGTCCTACTTTCCCAGGCCTACTCAGTGACCTCCTTTAAAAAGAATTGTTTTAAGATTTGAAAATCAATTTGGTTAACAAAGTGCAGGATGACCTTTTGGAAACAGGAGCGCCCGGCAGCCTGTTTAGCATTCTGTTCCACCAGGTGGGGAGTCAGCCTGTGCCTGGTATTTTTGCACTTGGGTTGGGAGAGGTGAGGCTGTGCTGCCTGTGGTGGCTGGGGCGGAGCCTGGTGCTGCTTCAGGGACCCTGGCCTTCCTTCTGTGCCTGGGGAAAGACAGAGGGTGTCAGAAAACGCGTGTGCATGTAGGTGCGTGCATGTTGCCGCTCAGCCACGCTCATGATGAGCCGAGCACGCCAGCGGTGACTTGGCAGCCAGCATCCCCCCTTGTGTATGCTTCCCTGGAACGCGCTTCTCTGATTGCAGGAGTTCTTCATTTTTGACTCGGCCGGCAAGGAGCTGTTTTCTGAAATGCTGGATAAATTGGCAAGTACACGAGCTCTTTTTCCTAACTGCCTGCACCCCACCTCCTGCCACAGCGCTAGCCCCTTATAGTAATGCTCCCTTTAAAATGCTGCTGCACTGTAAGTAGCAAGAGAAGCTGCTGGGCCATGGCTGTATTCGTTACGGGGCATTCCTCACAGCCCAGGGCGGGAAGCAGCGGCCCCACCTACCCCTGCTCCTGGATGACTAGATCCCAAATGTGCCAGAAGCGGTGGAGCTGTGTCCTCATGGCTCCCCTCTGTGGGCCATCCAGCCTTCACAGCCCCCCTCCTCCTGTATGCTTTCAGCATCTCAGCACCCCTCCTCGGCCTCCTAGGACAGTGACCAGGGGCCCTGAGATGAGGCTCACCTTCCGCCCCAGCCTCCCACCCCCTGGGATGTGCCCCTTCTATTGCCGTGGGCTCCCTGTACTTGTACCCCTGGCCACCAAACTGTCTGAGCAGAACCCAGCATGCTGTCTCTTGCACGGTGACAGTCTCTGGAGCCTGGGTCAGGGAGCTCATCTGAAGGCCTGAGCTCTCCAGAGCCCTCCCCTGCCATTCCAAGAACAGCCACGCTATAACAGAACCTGCTGTCAGTCCCCTTCTCCTTGTCTAAGAAGTTGAGCGCACGATAGCCGTTTCACCCAGGGCTGGCTTCATGGTGCCCAGCAAGCACCCACAGTGTGCATGGCCAGCGCTGGGTGCTGCTATGCTTGGCAGAGGAAAGTTGTGCGTGGGCAAGGCAGGGCCAAATGCTTCCCATCAAGCCCCTCACTCCCTGCAGCCAGCCTGACTCAGCCTTGTCCACCCGGCCTCGGCTTGATCCCGGGGGTTGTGGCCCACCTCCAGGAAGGCCTGAACAAAGGAAGGTTTATCAAATTTGTTTCTCCGCGCATGAGTCAGCCTGGAGGACCTTGCGGGGGTCGCTGGCTCAACCTACGCTCCTGCACCTCGGGTTCCTCCAGAAACCAGCGTAGCCTTGGAGATGGGGAGAGCCCTCCAGAGCCAGTCAGTCCTGGGCTAGCCCTCCAAGGGCAACTGGGGGAGAAAGGATTCTTCCCTATGCCCACCCCAGACGTAAGCCAGGGTCACCCACCTCCCCAGAGCAGGACATCGCAGGACTCTGAGCAGCCCCCGAAGCCTTTGCGAATGAGCCCTGGCTCTTAATTGGGACACAGCCCTTTCCAATTGGTGCGGTGTGTATTAGGGCTGATGTTGGCACTGCAGGAGCAGCAGCGGCCTCTGCATCCTGCAAAGCCAGCCGTGACAGGAAGATCCATGCAGACGCACTCCCAGGCACTGGCTCGGGAAGGAAGAGGCGCTCAGAGCTTGTGGGGTGATGGGCCTGGATAGCAACCCTGAGGGAGGAATGAATTAGCAGAGCCAAGTAGAGCTCTGGGTAGAGAAAAGCCCCAGGCCCACCCTGGTTCCACTGTCCCTAAAGCATGTGGACCTGGGCAGGCCAGGTGGCCTCCCTGTAGGACAATTCCTACTGATCCCACAAAGTTGGGAAGCTTCACAGAAGTGCCCAGAGGGGAGGGTCTGGCCCACCTGTGAGCTCTGCATCCTCCTCCTCCTCCCTCCCCCTCCCTGCTTCCCTGCCGCCCCACCCCCACACGGAACACACCTCCGTTCATTCCAGTGGAGAAGCCGAGGTCCCACTGTGTCTGGTCCCATTTCCTGACTCACATTCCCTTGATAGCTTTCCCCCCTCCCTCCACCATCAAGTCCCTTCATCGAACGTCAGATTATCCCCCACCCCAGGAATCGCCTTCAAGTTACTGACTTGTGCTCCTCCTGTCCCTCGAGCAGTGGGAAAGTCCCAACGTCCTGTGTCTTGTTTATGACGTGACCAACGAGCAGTCCTTCAGCAACTGCGGCAAGTGGCTGGAGAAGGCTCGGGCACAGATTCCAGGCACGTCCCTCCCAGGTAGGAGCTGGCAACCCGTGCGTTTCCAGCAGTGCCTCTGTCCTTCAGCTCCGGAGAGGGACCTCCTGCAGAGGTCACTGGGGCCAAGCGGGACACTTAGGCTCTGACTCCCATGTCCAGGGCCGTGCTCTGGCTCTGCCTCTGAGTCTGTAGGTACAGCAGGGTTGATGTCACCCATCTGGCAGAGCCGTGATGCAACCCACGGAAATAGGGGGAAGGTGCTGTCACAGGAATGGATACTGTCAGAAAGCTAACCCCAGGGAAAGGTTCCTTCATTTGCTCCTGCATGTGGGGCACGAGTTGCATTAAGTCCCGTTGTCACTTCTGAATCCTTTAAACCCGTTTATTTCTCATCGCTATGCGAGATCAACAAATTCTCCTCATTACAGACCAGGGAAAGCAATCTCCAGAGACAGGCTCAGAAATTAGCTGTAGCCGATGCAGCTGGGAGCAGAGCTGAATTATCTCTGAATCCCTGACTCTGAGCCCAGGCCTCAAATTAGTATTAATGACCATTTTTAAAGTTTGCCCCATGTGCTAGGAATTATCACAAACGCACACCGAAATTGGCCTTCGTCTGCACAGCACTTATAATTGTAAGGAAGGCGGGGGCACAGATACACGCGAACCCTAAAACAAGTGGGGCAGGCATGGACTGGGTGTTCAAGGCAAAGACCACCGGTTCTCTTGTGGCCCTGGGAACCAGCACGAGAGCCCCGGCCTCCCCAGCCCCTCACCAGGCTGCTTCTCAGGCCAGGTTCTCAGCCCCTCATAAACGGCGTGCTACCACCCTGACCTCCCAGCCCACTGCAGCCACGTGTGACATTCTGATTGTTTTCTTACGAGCAGGTGTTTTAGTGGGAAATAAGACGGACCTGGCCAGCAGACGAGCAGTGGACCCAGAGCAAGCCCGGGCATGGGCACTGAGCCAAGGCCTCGAGTGCTTTGAGATTTCCGTGGTGAGTACCTCTGTGTGCCACCAGATCTGGGGGAGCCTCTGCAGGGAGTGGCCGAGTCCTGAAGCCAGCTCTGCAGAGTCCTATTGAGAGGTGTTCTTGTCCACAGCCCGAGGTGTTTCAGCCAGCTTGCAAGAGTCACTGGTCCCCACAGTAAAGCAGAGCCACCAGGCCATCCTGGGAGAAGCTGGGCCTGTGCTGGCGAAATGCACCAGTAGGCCTGGTGCAGTTTCCCTGACCTTGACACTTGTGTGAGATGGCACAGGTGACTGTGTCATGGGTAGGTTACTTCCCTGGACCCTCACAGTCAGTCCTGTGAACCAAGAGTTGCCCCCTCCCATCCCTAGTTTGGGGACAGGTGGTCAATAAAGAGCCAGGGCCAGGATCTCCACTTCTCATGCCCCCCAGTGCCTCTTGTATTCTTACCTAGGTGACTCCAGGTGACCCAGTGTCCTCTAAGCCAGGAGGAGTCCTCATGCAGTAGGCAAATCAAGAGCAACCTGCCATCAGCCTCTTTAGCTTGCCCAAGTCCCGACTTGGGGTGTCCTGCCCTGTGGAACCCCTTCCTACACAGCCTGTGTGAGCAAGAGCAGGCAAACATGCATTTCAGAGCCCACAGCGACCCTCACCACAGTTCCCTGGGGCTCCTGCCAGGCCCCCGAGCCCTGGCTGTCATGGAGACCTCATTGTGAGACCTCCCAGACCTGATTCTTCAGCTTTGCAGAAGTCAGGGCAGCCTGGTGCACACCTGGGGCTTTCTGGTCTACCCAGGCCACTCCAGCTGCAGGCAAGCCGCTGCTCTTCCGTCGCTGTATGAACGTGAGCCCTGAGTCCCCAGCATGGCCTGCTGAAGGCATAGGCACTCAGACCTCGCTGGCAAGGAGCAGGCTGGCTGTGCCACCCCCGCTTGTTATTTAAAACCATGGGAGCCTCGGCTCCTCACCTATACATGGAATGATAAAATACATCCCTCACTAGTATTAAGTGTGAGAATTAAGTAGGATGGTGAAATTAAACGCTTAGCAAAAAGCCTAGTGCATAGTAAACACTCAGCAGATGTTAGCTTTTTAAGGTATAAATGTTCCCCCAGTGTCTTGGTTTACTATTAATTGCTTAATCTTCGAATCCATAGCTTGTACACAGATGAATGTCACCCTTGCCTCTGGCCCAGCAATCACAAATGCTAAATTAATGAAGTTCAAATTAAGGAACCTGTGTTGCGCCAGGCTGGGCGGGGTGGTAGGGGTCTCCTGTCCCCAGTGCAGCAACCTTTGAGTGAGGCCATGAGCTGTGTCACCCACAGCACGCAGGACCACCCTGTCCCCTTCCTCTGTTCACACCGGTGACATTGTCGCTTATTTCCCAGAACTCAAAATTTAAAACTTGCTCCCACACGTTAATCACCAAAGGCCACGGGCCTCGAGTTTAAATTCTGTTCAGGTGTTGCAGGGAGTGGGTATAAATTATGCTTGAAGAGGCAGCAGTGAAGCGCTTGGTATTAACTGCGCAAGTTAACTAGTCCCCCCTGAGTTGGTGCTCACAGAAGCTGCACTGGCAGCTCGGGTAAGAAAGCTGTAATTAAAAAGGAAATATAACCCAGTACTGTTTGAGCTACAGCCAAGCCGGGATGCCAAGTCCGTCTCCCCTCTCCCCGAGAGCAGCCGCAGTCCTCCAGCTGACCCAGAAGCCCGACCTGCAGGGCTCTTTGACTTCCTGATGCCCCCAGATGTTTGAAAATTTTAGGCTGAAAAGTAAAAATAAAAGGGTTTCTATAACCAGAAATTTAAAATCATAACAAATAAGCAACAGCAGCAACAAGAACAAAAACCCTTTGATCATCACTGGAAGACCGCAGGGGAATAAACAGGTTCACGAATGATCAGTCGGGGCGGCAGCCTTTGCAGTAGCCAGGAGGAGGGAATAATTGAAGGCTTACTGTGTGCTGGGCATTTTGCACATCATCCGCTTATGCTTCATAGTGCATGAGGCAGCTGCTTCTATTCGTTATCCACTTGAGAAACAGATCAGAAAGGTTGTATAACTTTCCCCAGCTGCACAGCTAAAGAGCAGAAGCAGCACCAAGACTCAGGTGTGTCCGGCTGGGATGCTTCTGGAAGGGGTTCTCATGCTGCCCCCGCCCCCCCCCCGAGCACGCCATGGCACTCTCGGGGACCGTGTAAGCTGCACTGAGAACGACTGAGTCTGTTCCAAGGATCCTGGCTCTCAGTGTCCAGCTGTATAAGCAAGACTATGATTACTCATTCAACAAAAGGATTCCTGTCACTGGGGCGTTTGGGGCGATTCCTCTCAGTGCGTTTGGAAAATGGTTCAATTGCTGTTTATTTCAGGAGTGCTGAGGCTGCCTGCCTCACTTTCTATGCCAGCTTCTCCCGCAATCCTGCTTTGGAGAGCTTTCAGATTCGTTCAGAAGGCCTCATGCATAGCTGAGCAGGCCTGATTCTCTTCCATTCAGGACTTAACTGTACCAGGAACGTGTGGGCCATTTTATGGGTTGACACTGATTGACACTGGGTTGACATTGATGTTGCATGGCAGGAGATGCTTTGCACACCCAGAGGTGTCACACTGTCCCTCATGTCCCTCCAAAGGTGGCAGCTCTCAGGACTGTGGCAGTTGTGAGCCCAGCACAGGGGCTGATCTTGGCTCCAGGATGCCCTCTTCCTCAGGACACTCCTGGCACTGCCACCTATTTCCTCTCTCTGGGGGTCCCTTACTGCAAAGCCCAGGTAGCTTTTCTCCATGGCCCTGGTCCTCTCCATGCACAACCGGCTGCAACCCCAAAAGCCTGCTTCTCAGATCACCAATCTGGAGCACCAAACAGTGGGGCTGCTCCACCCAGGGCCCCGTCCACTCAGCTGGAAAATGCAGTCACCGCATGTGACGACCTGGGTGACCGTCTTCACATGGAGCTTCACGTTCTGCTAGGTATACTTCACCGCTTCCTATCAAGGTTGTGCTTTCTCCAGCTGCCAGAGAACTTTCTGGAACAGGTTCTTGTACATTCACAGTTTCTGCTGCTAGCTGTAGCCGAGTGGGTTCTTTCTGCTGCCAGCTTCTTTCTTAAAAATTAAAAGCACACAGGCACACAGAGCGGGGAAACAGTGTCAGGGAAGTCGAGGTCCACTGTGCTGTGTGCCCCCGTGGAGGGCTGTCATTTGCCGGCCCTTAGCTATACTCTAGGGCAGTGATAGCGAATCTGAGGCACGCGTGACACCGAGCTGTGTGTATCTCTGAAAGCTCTAACAGGTTCACCAGCACTGCTCTAGCGCTGAACCCTGTCACACCAGAGAAATACCCTTTGGATCCTGTAGTCATGAAAATACTCGTGTTTGCCAAGCATAGTGCCAGCTACTCTGGAGGCTGAGGTAGGAGGATTGCAAGTCAGAGGCCAGCCTGGACAATTTTGCAAGACCTTGTCTCAAAAAAAAAGGAACAGGGATATTTCTCCGCAGTAGAGTGCTCCTGGGCTCAGTCCCCACCATTGCAAAAAGAGAAAGCACCTTGTCGTTCGGATGCCCAGCCCTAGGCTGTGGTGAGAACTGGTTTGATCAGACCTCACACCTCTGGCAGGCCATGGGGGAGGGGGAGGCCACAGGGACAGAGCCGGTGGTGGCTGGGTCCTTTGTGGCCCATCCTGTGTACTTGCTGGGGCATCGCACGGATATCTCTGTGGGTGCTTTTAACCTGTGACCCTCCTGGAGCATCATGCAGATCCCCTTGAAGGCAGCAGCAAGCCAGCCCTCACTTCCCATTGGTGCTGGGGGCTGGAATTGGGAAAGGCCCTGCCCACGTTCTCCAGGAAGCTCCCTGGGGCTCCTCTGGTCCCTTCAGTCCTGATTTTCCTTAGAGGCTCCCCGTGACAGGACAGGGCAGGCTCTGTTGGCAATTGGCATTAACCTGCGGGGCCTTGTTTTAACACATGGCTACAAGGATGGGTTGTGTAGAAACAGCCCTCGCCGCCGTGGCCTGCTGGAGATGTGGCTTCCTCTGTGAAACCCCGGCTCCAGCATCTGCACTGGCGGTGGCTGTCTGCGAATCCCCTTCATCTCTGTCTGTTTCCTTATAAAGCTGGCAGCCTGAGAACAGCACTCAGTGGTACCAAGGTGAAACAGCAGGGTGGGCAGCCTGGGGCAGGGGGCCCTGGAGAGCACGCCAGGTCCCTAGGTTAGGAAGCTAACACAGCTCTGTCTGACTGTCCACAGAAGGAGATGGACAACTACGAGGCCCCTTTCCACTGCCTGGCCACACAGTTCCTCCACCTGTACAGGGAGAAAGTGGGGCTGTTCCAGAGCCTGGTGTGACGGCCTGGCTTGCTCTTCGGATGGTGTGGTGCTCGGGAGCATGGTAGGGGGCTCTGTCTCCCTCCCAGAAGGTGACAAGATGGAATTGCCTCTGCCACTCGGTGTGTGTCATGACGGCTTTAAATAAAATCATCAGCAGCAGCTGCTGCTTTCGCTCTTGGCCCAGGCAGCCCTGGTTCCATTCCGCATTCTGGCTGCAGTCACAGAGTGGCCCTGTCTAGTGAAGGCGGTAGTGGGGGCTGAGGGCCCTGCCTGCCCTCTGTGACCTTGATGGAGAAGGGTGACCCTCAGGGCAGGGCCATCCCTTTCCAGCCAGCTCCTGCCTCTCCGGGTGACCCACTCCCCTCAGGTGGCCACTGTCCCCAACTCACAGTGTCCCCTGCCAGCCTCAGTGACGCAAGGCCACTTCCTCTACAGCCATCTCTCAACAAACCGGGTAGCAGTCTTCACTCTGCCTGAGCCTGACCATTGCCCATCCTGTCCTAAAACACCATTCTCATTGGCCACCCTGCCCTGATTAAAGACACAAGATGGTCCTTGCTGCTGTGCTGGTCAGTGCTGCAAGCTGTAACCTGGCATCCAGGCCCTTCTTGGAACTGTCCCTGGATCCTAGGAGCCTGTACCACCACCTCCTCTGAGACCAGGATGCCAGGGTGCCTGTCATACTCCTGTCAGGCCCAGGGCTGTCCCTTATGGGAGGGGAGCATTGTGTCAAGGGAACCAGCTCTGGAGTGGCCCCACCTGTCCCACTGATGGTGGCAATCATGGGCATCCCTGGCTCCTGCTGATAACCTGCCCTGTCTCCAGGAGCAAAGCATGTGACATACATTAGCTGATTTTGTCCCGACAGCTGAGTCTGTTAACATCCCACTTTTATAGACGAGCTGGGTGGGGTCAGGATGACAGCCCCTCTTCTGCCTCCTCTGAGCTGGCCAGAGCATGTGAAGGTCACAGAGAAGTCACATAATAGATGTGCAGGGCCTGTGGTCACAGGAAGTTATCCTCATGGGCCCTGCCTCTTCCTGTGTTTAGGACCACAACAGTCTCCTTCAGAAGGCCATTGTCAAGGGCTGATGGGCTCTGGACACCAGCAACACTGTCTGCTAGGCCCCTGTGACATGCCACAGGTCCTCCATAAACAGCCAAGGGAGAGCATTGCCTGTCACCCCAGAATTGGTGACCAGGACCCTTAAGTGTGGACACAGATTTAGTGCTAAGGAAACCACTTCCTGGAGGCCTTCTCTGTGGCTACTGGGAAGCCCCACCCTGCCCCGCCTCCACCCTCCTATCTCCATCAGAAGATTGGAGAAGCCACAGTTGGTGGGTGCCCTCCCCAGCTGAACCTCTTCTCTAGAACCAAGTGAAGGAGCCCCCAGAGCCTCCTACGATGGAGGACACTGCCAGAAAGAGACGCAGCCACCTTGCTGCCCAGCTGGATGCTGGCTGAGCTCCAGGAACCTGTGCCAGCTGCAGCGTGGGTCACGGGTGCCTTCCTCTAGAGCTTGAGGGCAGAGGGCCTAGGAGAGAGCCGCCCCAGCAGCAGGGAAGCTGGGCTTTGTGGAAAGAGGACACAGGTGGTTTGCACAGGGATCTGCAGGGACCCACATGGAGAGGAGTCCCAGAGCCAGACCAGCACTGGGCAGAGAGCTGCTTCCCAATGGGAAGGGCAGGGGCTGGGAGGAGGTAGAGCTACGGAGGGAGACAGCTGTCGCCTCGTGAGGAGGCCTCAGCCTGGGACAAGTTAGATCAGCCGGAGAAGTCAGCAGAAAGGAGGGGCTCAACGGAGCAAGACGGTATAGACCGGCTTGGCTTCGAGGCCCACTGAGGTAAACCGTCTCTACAAACCAGTGATGGCCAAGATGGTGTCCGACAGTGCAGACCACAGAACTGTACGGTTTGAAGCCGGGCTAGCGCCCCACCCACCTCCCATCCCGGAAAATAAAGCAAAAACAAAACTCTCCTGATTGTCGGAGTGAGGTTTTTGGAGTGACAGGATCTTGAAGATCTTTGGCTCAGGGATGGGTTCATCTACTGGTGAGTTCATCTATTGGTGGATTCATCTACTGGCAGGTTCATCTATTGGTCAGTGTGCTGTTAGGGGGTGGGGCCTGGCTGGCAGGGGCGTGGCCAGGAGGGGCGTGGCCATTGCTATCACTCCCTTCTCTGCTTCCTGCGCACCAGGATGAGAGCCGTTTTGCTCCGCCCAGCCCCTTCCACCGTGCTCTTCCTGCCTTGGCTGATTGTGGACCGGATCTACTAAAAACTGGAAGCCAAAATAAATCTCTCCTCCTTTAAATTGTGAATGTCAGGTATTTTGTCCCAAAGACAAAGTAACTTGAGAAGAACGAAGCTGTGGTCTGTGGTCCGTAGTGATGCATCGGGAAGTCCGGTTACGCGCTCCGTAAGAGATTGGAG